GCACGATTTTGAACTCTATTCTGTTGTTATTAAAGTCTGCAAGAAGTGGTTATTTACGGTACCGCATGTGTTTATGATAAGCTGAGAACACAATATATTTGGTGCTATGGGCTTGTGTTTGAATTTATGAAGAAAAATATACTTACAATATTTTTATTATAAATCTAGATTTCAAACGAAAATATGTTATTTGCATTGTTAGGTCAATGGTTTCAATTTCAGAGTGTTTTGATCATATTTAAATAAAGTACCTATTTATTTTATTTGCTTATAAATTAAATAGGGTATATGACAAGTTTTAGAAAACGATCTCACGTTATTGACTAATGTTTATGGAGTCCATAAAAAATATATGGATATTCATCATTCTGTTGTGTATTTCAGTAAAAATAACCAAATCAAAAACTCAATTTTCAAATTGCCGCGAAAACGTTTCTCTGGACAATAAGGCGTCTTATTAGTGTGTGACGTCACACGACTGTTATTAAAACGTCGAACGATACAATGTAATGTCACTTTAACCGGAAGTTTACTTGCGTGTGACGTCATTTTAGGCTCCGCCAATCCCAAGCGTTTTGGGTCGCGTGACAATAGATAAGAAAACTATTATCTTTTCCGTGGGTTTTTAGTAAAATTATGAATATATTTTTTGTAAAAATAGTAAAAACCCCTGCCAATATTCATTCTAAACACATGCTAACATTTGGCACTTTATTTTTAATACTGTCAAATACCCTATCTATCTTATATATAAAATTCTCGTGTCGCGGTGTTTGTGGTTAAACTCCTCCGAAACGGCTTTCCCGATTCTCATCAAATTTTGTGTGCATATTGGGTAGGACTGAGAATCGGACAACATCTATTTTTCATCCCTCTAAATGTTAAGGGTAATCCACTCCTAAATTTTTTTTTTTCAATTTTAGATAATTTATTTTTTTATGATACAGCATTAGTAAATACATAATACCCTAAATTTTCACCCTTCTACCACCAACCCCAATTTTTTTATGGCGGTACGAAGTTCTTTGGGACAGCTAGTATATATATAAAACTCATAGGTGACTGACTGACATAGTGATCTATTAACGCACAGCCCAAACCACGGGACGGATCGGGCTGAAATTGGCATGCAGATAGATGTTATGACGTAGGCATCCGCTAAGAAAGGATTTTGATCAATTCTATCCTATAAAATAGGGAATGAAAGTTTGTATGAAATTTTGTCAATTTTAAACCGATCGGGCTGAGACTTTGCATGCAGGTATAAGAAGAATCATAGATGAATATCATTGTATATAATACAAGCCTGAGAACAAAAACTGTAGTCTACACTTCAGCTCTACACCGAAGCGAAGCGAGGGCGGGCCGCTAGTTGATAATAAAATTGTTATTATATAGGTAACTAAATAGCACCGTAGCAGCAAAAGCGAGATTCGTTGTATTGTTGAACCACAGTCTATATGTACAACTATCATAGTATGGTCTGTGCCAAATGATATTGTATTTGCACTTTGAACTATTATTACTAGCGTACTGGTAGCGTATTTAGTTACGTAGTAATTTTACCTCACTGGTAAAATTGACGAGGCAAGAAATATCTGAAATCATTTATGAAACTGAAATATAGCATAGTATTAAAATTATCTAATAGTCAAAATTATTTAAACACATCATCATCATCAACAGCCTATCTTAGTCCACTGCTGGACATAGGCCTCTCCAAATGCACGCCACTCAGATCGATTTTGGGCTACTCGCATCCAGCTCCTGCCAGCCACCTCACGCAAATCGTCACTCCATCGTGCCTGAGGACGTCCTACACTACGTTTGCATAGACGCGGTCCTCCACTCCAGAACTCGTCTACCCCAACGGTTATCGGTTCTTCGGCAAATATGACCATTTAAACACAGTCTTATTTTTATTTACAGTATTACAATATATAGAAATAAAATAACAACAACTTAAAAACTACCTAATGTAAAAAAAAATATAAATTGCCTTAACCTTATGAATTATATCAAATTTACAAAATTAAGAAGAAGTCACCCCCAGCGCTGCCGTCAGGAATGGTGTCCAATAGGCTGGCCGCATTGCCACGTTGAATGGCAAGGCTGATCCGTTAACCAAGATAGCTGCCAGCCTTTTGGTCACCAGTCTCTTTGGCGAGCGACTTTGATAATTCCTTAGATAAGGAACGAGCGCTAGGACCCCATGCGCCCATAGTCTCAACACCAAATGGCAAATATATAGTTCTCACTTAATTTTTGGAACACAGTTAATTGCATATTATTGTCCTAAAATAAAAATAAGCCCTACTTAATTAATGTTATGATATATGGACAGTTCTGCCCTTTCGATTCCTGACCTGAAGTTCCGGCTGATAACAAAACTCTTTTCGATTAAGTATAGTATAACTTTTACCTACGAAAATTCAATTTGGCAGACGGTTTTTTATAATGCCTGTAAGACAAGTACTACTATCCGATATTTAAATAATGACAAAGAGATTTAAATAATGTTCAATGACTTACCATTTTGCTCATTACTAAGTTTTGCATCGAGCCATATCTATGGCATAGAATTTTAAACGGTAGGTAGCCTACATTCCCCATTATTGCATAAAGTTCGCGTTAGGCCAAACTCGACTATTAACTAGTAGGCAAGTATAGAATAGGACCCGTCAGTACACCTTGCCACGCTTTCACCTACTTTACATAACTGAACAAATGACCGTTTTGTACTTGTCTCTTTGACGAGTTTAGTTGCTTCTGAATACTAATGTCATGTTCGTCGGTTAGGTATTCAAGTTACATCATCCGGTGGGAATTAATATTCGAACGATGTTTCTCGCGGCAGAGATTTCCGTTGAAACTTATTGACTTACGTTGAAATATAGTTACAAGTTCCCGCCATAATGTATACTTTGAGCCATGTTACTCCTATGGGCGCACCTTAACGAGGACATATTTGGCATTGTTTGTATCTAATAAATAAATAAATATTTTCAACACTCACACCAATTAGCCTAACCCCAAAGTATGCACTGTAAGGCGTGTGTTATAGGATACTAGGGTAACTGATAGAATACATATATTGTACATAATACCCGTATATGCAACTTTCGCAATGGTCGGTCATTGGATGGGAGACCAAAAATTACTATCTCGAGCTCCTCCGTGCTTCGGAAGGCACGTTAAGCCGCTGGTCCCGGCTGCATCTGCAGTCGTTAGCACCCACTAATCCGCACTGGGCCCGCATGGTGGGTCATGGTCCAATCTCCCTATTCCATCCATAGTGAAGGCCTGTGCCCCAGCAGTGGGGAAATTAATAGGCTGATGATGATGATGATGATATAAGTATATTTATAGAGATATACATATTAAACATCCATGACTGGAGTACAAATGCTCGTATTCGTTACAGAGACATCTGCCCCCACCGGGATTCGAACCCGGGACCTCTCGAGTCGGAGGTCGTCGAATGAGATCTGTGTGTATCTGAGACGTTGCAAAATCTTAGCAATGTCCGTGCATTGCTTGCGTTTTAATTTGAACAGTAGTAGGTCTGTATTTCTTCCAACGAATGAATAATGACATTAAAAACTACATCAAGTCTTCAAAAAAATATATTACCTTACCTTACGTGGTGAGTTTTGAAAAATCCTTCCTTAGCGCACGCCTGCATCATAATAGATATATGTATGCCAAATTTCATCGCAATCCATTCAGTAGTTAGAGCTGTGCGTTAATAGATTAGTAAGTCATTAACGGTTGCCTTATATAAATACAGAATACCATTTCATCTCACTGTAAATATGCCGAACTCCATATAATTATACACGGATTATAAAACAAACTATTTTCTTTTGCAATTTTATTAGGCTTGAATTTTAATTTGCAGTAATTACTGAATGCTTAATTAACAAAACAATGAAATGTTAATGTTGTTAATACAGCAAAATATGGTTCATAGTTGTTACTTAATGTAGATTACAGAAGTTCGTCAAAAATTACAAAACCACTAAAAATTTGCGTTTGCGATTTTAAAAATTCATGAAATGATGTTTCGGAGGAGGCTGGTGTGCTTTGCAAAGCCATAGTATATACCATATTGCATATGGTAGCAAAAAAATTATGTAATAATTAAGTAATTTTAAGAAAATTGTATAGTCAGGTTACGATGGGGCTGGTATGGACAATTTGGTCCGAAAGTCCCTTAAAAAAAAAGGTTAGCCTTGTGGATTTTAGCTTTTCCTAAAAACAAGAAAAAATACTTGAGTGGCTGATTGACAACGCACAGCCCAAACCGCTTGGTCTAGAGAATTTAAATTTGGCACGTATAGTCCTTATGAGGTCTAGGGGTGCACTAACTAAAGGATTTTTCAAAATTCACCTACGAAAGGCTTAGTATAGGGGATGAAAGTTTGTATGGACAAATCTTATTCTTTGAGCTAATAGACTTGAAACTTGCGCGAGTACTAATCTAAATAAATTATAAACTTTGTGTTTTTGTTTTGATTTCTTAAACCATCCCCTAAAAAGAGTTTGGGAGGGTGTCAAGTTTTATGTGAATGAAATTTAACGCGCATTTCGATTTACTCTAAATGAGATTTTCTTAAAACCCTGATCCATGTTATTCTTTATATCATATAAATTATCTCAAAAACGTAACGAACGTGGACGAAGCCGCAGGCGGCTGCTAGTATAATAATATTTTTATTCTATAAGTCTCAGCTCAGCGCCGCGCTGCCGGCCGCCCCCTTGGTCCTGGCGCCCTAGGCTCAAGCCTTATTAGCCTGTGGGTAAATCGGGCCCTGTTTAGGGGTGTACACAGCATTCAAAACAGAAATGACAATAGTATTTTTTTGAAACTATGTTTAATAATAATAATTACTCAAGTAATTTTATTAATATTGAGATGGAGTTCAGTAGCGTATGCGTGAACTGATGTTGAGTATCAAAAAACTGTTTTTTCCTAATTTACTCAATTTTGGTTTCAGGTGTTGATGGTGTCACAAGTTTCAAGTTAGCCCTGACTATAAATAAGGTACGTTTCTAATTTCTAAGGATAAGTGAATTTTTTGACATAGTTTGAAAAAAAAATGTGTACACTTGCGAAACCGGAACTTATATAAGTGATATAAAGTGAATTTAAACAAAACTTACCTCATCTTTGAAAAATACAGTATTAATAATAGTACAAAGCTATACAGTATCTAAAAGTAATCCAAGTTTATTTATTTTCCAGCATTACAGATCAATTAACAGTGTTATTTGAATTCCAATTAAATGGTTTCGTGTCACGCTCCACATTCATTGAGATAAATGCAATTTATTCAGATTCACGTAACTAACCCAAATTTTGGACGACAGATGTTAAGCTTGAATAAAATTTAGGTTATCGATTATCTTTCGATTTAGTTTTAATGTTGTTCATTATCAAACCGATAAACTTTATCAGATTGTCTGTAACCTGTTTTAGATGTTGCCTGTGTTTACAACAGCTTCATTTCTTGTTTCGGATCAACTTTGGTAGTATTTTTTTTGTTTCCTCCCAAGCGGGGGAGCGGGTGAGAAATCCTCATGGATACCCACCCTTCAGCCGCAGGGTTATGTCAGACTCTTACTGACTAACCTGTAAGTTACCTGTTAATCATGCTTATGGCCAGAAGGGCCTTACAATCTTCATCTGAAGCGATTATCCCCTGAGAGGGGTATGTTTTGTGTTTTTTTTATAGTGAAATTGTCTCCCCCCCCCCCCTAGAAGTAGTAAATCAAATCAAAATATAGGAGTTAGCCTTCTTCTTGGGCTTCGGGTCTTGAAAGAGTAGAGAAAGTTAACATCTTGTTTTTTTACTACACGCTTTTCAGTGTACCCTTGGCACGAAGTAGTATCGAATTCGAATAGTTCGCGAGAGCGAAATGTCATTGTCTTAGCTTATTTGTTCCCTTCCTCCTAAAACTGGCCAAAGGTGAGGTGTCTGGTGTAGCACTGTACTAGCGTGATACCAGCTGTCTCGACTCCACCGACTATCACTTAAAATCAGGTGGGGAGTGAACTGTCGGACATATTTATAATAAAAAAAAAACGACGGGTTGCACTCCGGGAGTGCCGGCAGAAGTGAAAACTTCAATATTAACGTTGTGCATTTTTGATATTTTGGAATGTTTAGGGAATAATTGTACATGAATTTCTTTCTCTATTGTAAAGAAATCAACTTACATGAATCACATTTAAGCGCACCTAGCGACATCTATTGTAAAAAATGCATTTTCTTCGCAAGAAAGCTGCCACGTGGACGTCCTAGATGAGACTTATTATTATAATACGGTAAAATAAAATATTACTATGTTTCATCCAATATATTGAAAGTCAACAACCTTTCTAATTTTATTGTGTGTCATGATGCAATCAGCCCACGTGTTTAACCTGACGCGAGTTTAACATTTTTTACCCATACAAAAAAAAGTGTACAACGCCTCTAAAGAAGTTTTCACTTCAAAAAACAGTGTTTAGAGTTGACCACTCCGTTTGCAGTGGAATAAGGCTTAAAAATATTTTAAATTAGAGTTATGATCCAATGCACTCTAGTGGCAGTGAGGTGAGCACACCATGTTTCATTTCTGCTCCAGTTGTCTGCCACAATGGCAATGGATGTATCGCGCGGATGTCGTTGTACCACGACACGCCACGCCAAACGCTGCAAGCGCAATCTAGGTCATTGTTAATATGACGGCATTAAGAGTACCACATGGAGACGAAAAAATATTAAAATATGATCTATTTTCTTAATTTTAGCCCTAGAGTACCTTGCGGTTTCAGCCACTTCGGTTCAATTAATAATATGGAAAGTGACTTCTAGAGTCATCTCACGTTGAAGTAATTTTCCAATTTAACGACTCTGTTTATAATACAGCGAGAAAAAAACAGCACTTGCGGAGTTTCTTGCCGGTTCTTCTCAGTACAAGGTCTCCCGCCGTCGATTTGCGCACCGATAGCGTAGCTTTTCGACATTCACAAGTGCTTGTAACAGCCTAGACTGAAAAAACGATGTTGAATACTTCGTTTGAAAAGTTTACCACCCATAACGGATTTTGTTGTATTACAATCGAATGGCCATAGTTTTGCCATCTTTATGTTGTTTTTATTAAATATATTGAATTCCTAAACGAACTTACAGTTAAAATATGTTTAGGAGGAGCCATTTGCTAAGGCCTTCGACAAAGGTTTTTAATACAAATTATTATGAAATTATTAATAAAGGCTATGTAAATCAATTCAAATAGTAAAATGAACTTGTTGACTTACATGAAATTAACGTATATTGTACATATTGAAGATGAGATGTGACTTGATGTGATTATCTTTTGACATTTTATTTTATCAATGTATTAGATTTTTTATTTTGCAAATAAGTACTTTACATAGACAAAGAGATATGCTCTAAGTACAAAAAAGTCATAATATAAATTTAAATCTATATTTCAATTAATTTTTGCATGCTGGAAAAGGCTAATTGTGCGACCTGCCCTAATCATTTAAAAACATCATTGTAACCACAATTAAGGCAAATAAATAAAACTAGTTTTTACGGGTTAATGCACGAAACCTTTATTTATTTATTGAAGTTTCGTAGCCTTTACAGGCTACGTCGTCAGAATAAAACTTTTATTTAATTTGTAGAGCTACCTTCGAAAGACTTTTATTGAGCGTTTGGTTATTTCATTGTTCGATTTTTAAGTTTTATTGTCTATGTATGAATTTATTATTTAATTTACTTAATAAAGTATTTTATTTAAAATTCTTGTTTGTAATTTTGAGTTTATTTATTTGAGTCACTGACAAGATTGGGAGGATTCTGAAGCGTGCTTCAATCAATACATACTTCAAGCCGCCAAAGAAGATTAACCAGTTTCTACGACCGGTCAAGTGCAATATACCCTGTAAAGGCTACGAAACTTCAATAAATAAATAAAGTTTTCGTGCATTAACCCGTAAAAACTAGTTTTATTTAATGCAAATAAATTTCATTTCTTTTCATTTCATTTCAAAAGTATAAGTATACCTACAAATAAGTGTTCAATATTTACAAGTCTTTTATTATATAATTTCATTCAGTTTATTGTACTCACTCCTATTCGCTTTTTGTTGCATTCGGTGACGTAATAGGCGGCACCGCCGCCGGCGCCGGTTCGCTCGCGTGCTTTACAATAGCGCGTACCTACCTCGGTTTACAATAATAACGAAGTAATAGTTCCGATCCTATGGTGTGGGTTATTAATTAGCCATTCTTTACTTCCGCTATCGTAAAGATTTGCGAATAAAGCCCGCTTTTGCCTTGCTTTTTGAATATGATGGGTGGAACGCGGAAATGAAACTTTTCAAGCTTGGAAAAGTGGAGTTTCACTAATTTTGTTTAAATATTTAGTAATAAAAAAATTTTGTTCTTTACACTCAATATGTATGTCGCAAAAAAATCTACTAGCAACAGAGCCCCAAACACGATTTTCGAGAGATCCGTAATCGTATCGTCGTCATCAAATTCTGTATGGACGGAACCAGTTTGTTCTTACGTCCGGTAGGGGCGATGCTTAGTTTTCATAGAAACTTTGACGATGCGATATACGATGACGGAGCTTTGTAATCTCTTTGAAAAAAAAAGTACTACAATGCTAGTTGTTTTAAAGTTATAGATACGTCATACACGCTTCTAATTTGGCAATACGAAAGTCAGGTAATTGCCCGACTTGCATTCAGTCAGGGCACGCTCTCTCGCCGCGGCTACACTTTGCTACAACGTGAAAATATTTTTAGTTTTTCCAGATAAAAAGCTCTGTGTGTTTTAGATAGTACACAAAATACCGGGAACCATTAGAAACAAGAAAACGTGTCGTAAGTACAATTTTAAAGAAAATCTTTAAAGTCACTTTCCATTACAAACAAAAAATGCAAATAATATAAAAATTATGACTATAAATTAAAATATAACACATATATAAACAAAGCGCTTGCAGCGCCTCTACCAGTAATTAATGTAACTACTTTACAATATGATCAAATATTTTTTGCCATTTCATGAAGTAGCCACTCGTTTAGTTGGCCATATCGTGAAACGATTTCTCATCATTGATCCGCCCAAACTATATCATGATGTAGTTCGACCATTTCATGAAATTCTTGAGCATTTCATGAAGTGAGCAAATCTACGATATGGCCACGATATATCTTTATATATATAATTCTTCTGTGAGTGTGTATGTCACACTGAACTTCTCTTAAACGACTGGACCGATTTTGATGAAATTTTTTGTGTGTGTTCAAGGGGATCTGAGAATGGTTTAGATTCACAATTTTGTCCGCTGGACAACCCCTATTTTTTTAGGGCGGTACGAAGTTCGCTGGGTCAGCTAGTATTTATATAAGATCAATCTTCTGTCAATAGTGATCTGTTGAAATTAAAAAAAATGTGTTTGGCTATCTAAAACCCGGTTGTTTTCCAAATACAGTCCACAAAACCCCTTTCAGTATGTAAGTAGTTAAAATGTTTTGTAAAAGTGTTATAACACGATGAATACTGATGTTTAAATTAACTCACGTAAGTTTTCATAACAGCTAACGAAAGAGTTAAATGTTACAGAGCCAAGTAACAGATATAACAGCTTCGGGCGAATCGTGACTCGAAAGTGCTTAGACGATTTCAAGACTGTATGGTCATTCTTGCTGGTGTTTGAAAATAATCATGTGTACTAGCTAGATGTCTTCCTTCTTCCTTCTGTTTCTGGTCTATTGTAACTAGACAGGGAAATAAAAATATTGGTCGAGCTAACTGTTTACTTTTATTACGTTGAATAGAGAAGGACTTATTTAACAGAGAGCTTTACTAGAAGAAAATCCACGCGGACTTGCCTAGTCCGGGACGGGACGGGGTTTCTTTACATTTTAACATCTAGTAATTAATTGCTTAAAAAGAAATAAAAACATAACTAACAAAGCTGCTTAGTTTTATTGTTATTTTAGTGAAGCATTGAAATACTTGATTTTTGTAT